GGTTGGTGGAAATGGAGATACGGTGGGGGGGAGATGGAAGAAACGAGGAGCAGCAAGGGGATGGCAAACCTTCCCCCCCTCTGCCGGTGCTGAGCCATTGTCCCTGCCGGGGTCTTTCCATGTCCTTCCCTGGGGCAGGGCGAGCCCAGAAGGGGACCAGAGGTTGTCACTGAGCAGTGCCAGGCAGGGACCCTGCTCTCGCCACCCCAGCTGGTGGCCCTGTGGTTAGAGGTGGGTCAGTGCTGTTAGCATGGCCGCGATGGGCAGGGGCCGGTGAAGATGGGCTTCTGGCAGGGAGAAGGGACAGCCCGGGGACAGGCTAGCAGCCTGCTGGGGTGGCGGGACAGATGGTGGTAGCCATGCCATGCTTTGGAGGCAAAGCCAGCACATGGGTGGCATCTTGCTGGCCCCCAGGCTCCTAGTAGTGCCGCATCCCAGCTCGTCCCAGCTGCAAGGGGCCAGGACATGGACCTGGTGGTGGTGCAGGGGTGGGAGCCATCTCCAGCCCCTTGGGGACCAGCCTGGGGGGAGCACGGGCAAGACTGGGTGACCACAGGCCACTACATGGGTGACAGCACCCAGCAGTGTCTGCCCCAGGAGGGAGAAAAGAAGATGGGGTAGGACAAGCCTCCACCTGGCCTGGAGAGCTCTCCGCAGCCCAGGGTGCCAGGGACATTGCCACCAGCAGCCTCAGCACCCGGGGAACCCAGCACTGCCAACCCAGTGGGGACACCAGCAACCCAGTGGGGACACCACCGGGGGCCAGTCCTGGCTGGGCAGCCCCCGGGGAGGAGCAAGCAGGGGCCATGCTGCACTGCCCAAGCTCATCTTCACCAGCCAAAGAGGAATGGGACAGGGTTACAGAGGTGTGAATTAGGCCAGACTGAGTTGATCCAAACCAGGCTCTTTCTCCCCAAAATAAGTAGCTGGCACAGGCAGGGGAAGGGGGGGGGGGGCCCACCCGCCCCAGCAACTTACAGACTGGTGCATGCAGTAGAGGCATGGAGGGCAGGCAGGCAGGGGAGATGGTGGGAAAGAAAAAGAAAACGTGAGCAAAAAGAAAGAAAAACAAAACCAAAAAACCACACAATGCAGAATGCACATCAGCGCCGGGGCAGGAACCAGGGCAGTGCCCACCACTGCCCGCAGCCGGACCCATGCTCACAGCCGAGTTCTCCCTCGCCGGCACGTGCTGAAACACAGGCTTGGACCATCATTACGCCAGGTCGCTGCCGTCCCCCTGGCCCCACCGTGTCACCCACGCAAGGGCACCCGCCAGCATGAGCATCCCATGGGGCATCTAGATGCCACAGGGAGCCCTAGCAAGCTGGCAGCTCTGCTCCACCGCCTCCTCCCAGCAGCACAGCCCGCAGGTACTGGCACCTGCAGCCCCAGCCAGAGCTCCAGCTGCACATCTCCAGGAGCCCCCAGCTCTGGTCCCATCAATCTGTCACCTTACCAGGGCCCCAGAGTCTCCCCATAGCCAGGCACAGGGCTCCATGCAGTGCATTTCCCGCCCAGCACCACAAGGAGCTGGGGAGCCCATCCCAGCACCGCCCCAGCTGCTGCTTGAGCACCTGGGGGGACCGTGGCTGTCCCAGCACCATCCAGCTCCATCTCCCTCTTCCCCCCACAAAATGTCCCTGTTGATGGCAGCCACAGGCTGGTTGGCCCAGCTGGGACTCGGGCTCTCCCCTGCCCCCATGCCTGCACTGCCAGCCCTCAGCTGCAGCCCCTGCCCAGCACTTTGTCCCCCAAAAGGCTCCTCTGGGTTCCCACCAGTGGTCGTGCTCCTCCTTCCCCCCCCCCCAGACTGTCCCTGGGGTGTCCTCAAGTTTGGGTGCCCCCAAGCAGAGGTGCCCCAGGCACTCCCTCGCTGGCACTCACCTTCCTTCACAGGGATGGTTGGTTTCTTCTGCCGCAGACCCAGGAGGATAAAGAAGAGCACCAGGGGGATGAAGATCTCAAAGGCCAGCACCCACTGGGGATGACACAAAGCAGAGGCATTGCGAGGCTTGAGGAGAGGACCCGGCTACCAAGGAGGAGGAACATGGGCAGGATGGGGTCCCTGGGGCACTGGTGCAGTGCAGCACCATGCCTGCATCCTGATGGTGGCACCATCACAGCTCTGGCAGAGGCAAATGGGTGCCTGGGCACCCGAGGATCCCCTGCTTACCCCTGCCTGCTGCATCCTGCCCGGGGCACCTCAGGACAGGAGAGGATACCACAGAGGTATGGACCCCTGCTCCAGCAACGCAAACAGGGTGCTAGGGCTCGAGCCCAGCCCCAACAGGCCACCCCAGCTGGGGCTGCCCAGAGGAGATGACCCCAAGTCCTTATGGCCTGCGAAGAGCTGCAGGCTCCCATCCTGGCAGTGCCCTCAGCTGGCAGCACCATGGCACGACATCCCCCTGCCACTGCTGGGTCCCACCCATGGGACCACGCAGATCCCAACGCCGCTGGGGCAAGGTTCGGTTTGGCCAGGCCCTGGCACCGGCTCCAGGTGCAACTGGGGGGCAGTGGGGAGGGGTCCTGGCACCCTCTCTGTGCCCTCCCAGCAGGCTATGGCTGCACAGGATTTCCTCTAGTGGAAAATCCCCAGGAATCCCTGACCCAAATCACACAAGCGGCCCAGGCTGGGCTCCATGCCCAGAGGCCCTGGGGATGGGCATCAGCGCCCTCGGGCACTGGCAGGAGCAGGCACCCAGCACGCTGCCAGCATGGCTGCTGTCAGTCTGCACAGGGAGCACCCAGGCCACATCATGGCCCCATTGCCCTCACTGTCAAGTGGAGGGGAAGCACTGTAGGTGCGAAAACTGAGGCACGGGGTGAGGTGAGCTCCAGGGCCAGATCAGAGCCTGGAACCTGCTGCCACCATGGGCAGGGGAGGCCCCAGCTCCACTGCTGGGAAGGTGCTCGCTATGGCACCAGCACCTCCCACCACGCTCCCACCCCAGCCCAGTTACCCTCCATGACCAGGCACCAGAGGGCACAGCAGTGAGGCGGAGGAGAGGGCTTTAACGCAACAGGGGCTGCCTGGAAGGAGGCAGCTGGCAGCAGGTGACAGGGTCAGGCCCCCCTGTCCCCAACAGTGTCACCTCCATGCTGGCCTCATCCAGGGGCTGCAAACGCTCTGCCAAAAAGTCACAGCAGACCAGCAAAGAGCAGTGAGCAGAGGGACCCCCAGCCCCCACCGGCACATGGCCGCAGCTCTCCTGTGGGCACCATGGTTGGCAGGGCTGTGGGTCAGGCAGGGCTGCACCCATGGGTGCCCCCAAGTACTGCCCTCCCCATGCCCAGAGCTGCTGATTTTGGGGAGGCAGAGACTGGAGGAAGAAGAGCTGTATGGGACGGAGCCAGCAGACACCCCAGGAGCAGGGCCAGGGGATCCCCATCTTTCTGGCACCATTGGTCCCAGGCATGGTCACCGGTGTCACCATCCCTGTACTGGAGGGGGGGTAGCAAGGGACACCCTGCCAGCTCTGCCTGCCCCGTGGCTCCTGCCCTGCTGCTCACTGCCTGCACCCACTCCCCTGCCTGTTTACCAGGGACACAATCAGGCCTCTGTGCCTGGGCTCCTGTGGGACCATCCCCCCGCACCCACGCCGGGCCGTACCAGGCTCCCTTGGGGACTGCTGCGTCCCTGGTGGTGACAGAAGGGACCCGCTTGTTGTTATTTATTTTTTTAAAGCAGGTCATTGACCTTTTGCTCATCTCCTTCCCCAGAGACAGGCCCTGTGCCCAACACCTCCTGCACCACCACATTACCCCGATGCCAGGGCAGGCTGTCCCCCGCCACTGGCTTGGGGACAGCAGGGTGCCTGCCTGAGGGTGCAGGGCACTGAGGGACATTTTGGGATTGCGTGAGGAAGCAAGGCAGGGGAAAGGCCAGGATCCAGGCATCTGTGAAAGAAAAGCTGGGAGGAAAAGAGGAGAAGGGCCAGTGTCTGCCAGCAGCCAGCCATGCCCCGCACCAACCAGCGCAGCCTGTCCTGTCCTCTTGCCCGTTCTTTCTTCTCTCCAGGAGGGCTCTGGCACTTATATCCCAGGGGTGTGGGTGTGCTTGTGTGGGTGTGTGTGTGTGCAGCACCCAGGGTGGGACATGGGTCCCAGGGGCCCTTGTGCCCAGGTGACAGTGGCTGGGCAACAGCTCCAAGGCAATGGCAGAGCTCAGCAGCCAAAGGGACCCACCTCATACACACATGTGTACATCCCCTGGCACAAGTTCACCTCAACCTGCTGGAGAGGTGAGCAGGATGAGGCCATAGGTGCTGTTTGGGTTTGTATGAGTGCTGGGTGCATCCACCATGGATGGTGGGGTACACATGCGCCTGCTGGGGTCCCACGCTCAGCCCAGCCACCAGCTGGACGCAGGGTCCCCCAGCAAGGGAGGCAGAGGTTAGCGGGTGCTGGCTGCAGGCAGGGTGCTGGCCAGAGCACCAGGCCAGTGACTCCATGCCTGGTCCCACCACACAGCCCGAGGATGGTGCAGCAGCACCAGCTGGGCACATGCAGCTCCCATGCTGCCAGGCCAAAAGCACCAAGCAGCCCCACAGAATGCAGCAAGGGCAAACAGCCCAGCCTGGCGCAGCGGTCCCACCATGCCCACCCTTCAGCCAGCAGCAGGGGCAGCTGGGAGATGTGCTGAAGCCAGGGTCAGCCCAGCCACAGGCCATGGACTTTGTCAGGACAACACTGTTGGCATCCCCAGGTGATGGCAGGGTGCATGCCCCGACGGCCAAGCCAGGCGGAGGCAGCTCTCTGTGTCCATCACCACCACCCAGTCTGCTCCGTCCCTCCCACCCACTCCCAGTAATGCCCCAACGCCTGCAGCCACCACCTTCGGCCAGCCCAGCCCAGCAGAGGGGCAGCCAGGGGCTGAGAGCCCCCACGCAGAGACCCCCAGGCTGGCAACCCCATTGATGCCTGTGCAGCCCAAACCAGCCACACCAGCCCCCCTCTCCCCATGCGAGGGGAACTACCAGCCCCAGTGGAGGTGAAGCAGCACTGTGCACAGCCCAGGGCAAGCCCAGCCTCCAAAACCCCTGCACCCACTGGAGGACAGGGCAGGGTCTGCCTGGGCACCCCCCTGGGGAGGAAGGAGCTGCTGCCCACTCCCTGCCTGCCTCTCCACAGGTCCCAGCGCTGCCCACAGCAGCAGCAGGTGCCGGCTCACAGGAGCCCCAAGGGATGGGCTCAGTTCCTGGACAAGCAACACCCCAGCTTTTCCAATGGCATTTTAAGGCTGGTGGAAATATCTTAAACTTTTTGGAAGCTCCAGACTTCAATCTGTGTTAAACACCCACTTACCTGCCCGCAGCTGTGAAGCGCAGGCAGGTGAAGCAGCAGTCACTGGGAAAGGTGAGTGGGGCCAGGCAGACCCACAAGGCCAAGCCAATCCCCCACACCAGTGGGATCCTGACCACCCACACCCATTAATGGTCACCACCCAGCTGGGCACCTGCCAGGGACCCCAGGGTCACCTCCCTGTGCCCTCACCCATGGGGACAGCCAAGGCTGGACCCGCTGAGGCCTGGCTGCCGTCACCCCTGCTCAGCACAAGTTGTGCCCATCACCTCTTGTCCCACTGCCACCTGTGCCCAGCAAGGGCACATCCCCACCCCTTGCACCCTGCCCGGCAGCCCTGGCATGGCAGCCTGGGGATGTGCCTCAAGGAAGCTGGAGGTGGAGAACTGGAGGCTCCAGAACCAGGAGCCCAGGGAGAGCAGAGCATAGTTCTCCCCCATGCCAGCCCCGCAGTGCTGTGCCAGCTAGGCACCAGCATCCCAGGCCAAGGGGGACATACCATCAGCAGTGCCACACGGCAGTGCTCCCACACCGACACTGGCCACCCTCCTGCCAGCACAAGGTGCCCAGGCTGAGAGCAGGCAGGGTTGTGCCAGTGGCTGTGGTGTGGAGGAAGGCAGGGGCGGACACTGCCTGGCACCGCCACCACCCTGCCACCCCTGGTGTCCCCCCCGCCTCCCCCCTGCCAGCTGCAAACAGCAAGGGGGCAAAGATCACCCTGCGCCAGGGCAGCACCAGCCCAATCAATGCCCGCTGCCGGACCTGGCACCAGCCCCCAGCCAGCACCGGCAAAAGCACCTCTGCAGGCACAGGGTACCCTGTCCCCCAGGGACACTGCACCCCAGCACAGGCACTGCTGCAGCAGGGCCCCAACGGACAGGTGAGCCCCCCCAATGCCCCAGATTTTGGAGACATCAAGATCCCCACCAAGTGGGGAGGAAGGGGCAGACCTTCCAGGACAGCTCCTTTTCGTCATGGGAATGTCCCAGCTCCTGGCCAAGGAGCAGAAGGCACAAACCTTGCACAGGGCAAAGCAGCCATGCCGCTGCCCAGCTCTCCCCTGCCCCATGTGCATCCTCCCCCCACGCCAGGGCCCCCACCACAGGAGCCCTACTGACACGCTGCGACACCAAAGCAGCACCAGGAGCTTCAACTCCTGCTTGACGCTCCTCCAAAAGAGCCCCAAACTGCCAACACTTCCTCAGTGCCAAACAAAACCCAGTAACACACTGCCATCACAGGTGCTTCAGAGCCCGGAGCTCCCGCTGTGGTCACCCTCCTCTCCCAAACATGTGGGCACAGAGAGCCACGGGGAAGCAGCTGAATACCCTGAGCTGTGCTTGCAGTAACTTTTGAGAGATAACCTCTTACTTTTACATCCAACGTAGGTTTAACCAGCTACCAAGTAGTCATCGGGGAGCCCACCCCTTAAGATACGCACAGCTGAGCTCACCCCTCATCCCAGCAGAGCCAAGGTGATGCAGAGGATGGCACAGCCATCGGCACCCCAGGGCACTGCCCACCCTCAGGTGCCCAGAGCCCTGGCCTCCCTCCTCTGAGAGCCGCTGATGCTGTTCTGCTCAGACCCTCATCACCCCAGGGCTCCTGCCTGAATTTCTGCTCTGGGAAGAATAAAATCACAGCCAAACCCCAGAGCAGCCCCCAGAACAGCTCAGCTACGCTGGGCAAAGTCCAATGCTCCCACAGGCTGGGCACGAGACCCTACGGAGGCATGACAGGACAGTGCCCAGCCATCACCTCACCAGGCTGCAGGCAAGCTCATCTGGTGGCAAAGGGGCTTATGGCAGCAGGTGATGTGGCACTGCGGGTCAGGAGCACACCTCTCCCGCCTCTCTGAGAGGCCACCCAGTCACGCAGCCTCCC